ACACGGTAAGAGCGAGACAAGGACCAAGAGTCTTACCCGGTAAGTGAAGTTGACGACTCTTACCACGGTAAGCGCTTACCGGGTAAATTGTTGCATACGATACTGTTTTGGTGAATTAAAATCTTATCCGGTAAGTAAATGATAATGTTAAATTTACTGGTAAGCGCTTACCTGATAAGTGTTTGGTAAACGGCCCCTAACTCAACCAATCGATGCACTTTGATTTGTGTTGGGTTGAAATCTTTCAAAACACAAACATTGAGTTTGATTATTCAAATTATTTCAACCCGATCAAAACAACCCATTAGCATCCTTGACCATCGGTTTCGTTACTTGGATTTGAAAACTTACACTACAAACCCCTCACGTTTTTATTTGAAAATTTCTACCTCTAATCGATTTTTTTCCCATCGTTCTTCTGAGGTTATTACAACATTTAGTATCCAAAAATGGGGGTTTTTCCCCTCAAAAATCAAGTAAAAATGAATAAAATAATCAATAAATATATACGGATTACATTAATTTTTTCCCAAATCACTACGGAATTAAAATTAAAATTAAAATTAAAATACATCGATCTTATATTTACATATTAATTACATTATTTTTTTGTCAAATCACCATGGAATAACAAAAAATCTATCTCACTAATTGACATCGTTTACGTCCCAAACAAAGCACTTTATTTATAAACAGATTAATGCGGTTTACTTTTTCCATTATATATCATTAAGTTCTATAATTTTTTATAATAAATAAATTAATAATTGTTTTATTTTAAATGATTAAATTTCTGAATATTTTTTTTTAAATAAATATATCATTTGAATTTTTAAAAATTGTTGCATACATTCTTTTAATGCAAAAACTACCGTAATCAGTTAAGAATGTTTTAAAATAAAAAAAAAACAATAAGTTTTACAGTTTCTAAACCTACATCGTTGTTCATTCTCCATACCGTTGATCGTTGTCGTTGTCCTATGGCATCGATCTCCCTCTTTTTGATATGTTTTTTTCTTTCAATTATCCTTCTTTTACAACAATTTAATGAAGTACGTATGGACATAAAAAAGAGGGAATCGAAAACCAAAAAAAGAAACGATCAAAAAATGGGAGATCAATGATAGATGGTAGGGGTCAACGACGGTGATGGGAGTGGATGATGATGGGGCCAAGAAAGGTGGGGAGGGATTTGAATGGTTCAGGGTTTGAGAACTGTAAATTAATTTAGGTTTTTTTGGTTTAAACAGATGTACATAACCAGTTTTTAAATGTCGATGGTTTATTAAATGCTAAGTGATATAATCATTTAAAATAAGAAAATTCGATAGTTTTTAATTTAAAAAGTTTAGAAACAAGTGTTTGATTTGGGGTATTAAATATTAATAAGTGAAAATAAAATTAATAAAAAGTATTTAATTTTATATAAAATAATGACTTAATTCCCCCTCAAAAGCCCAAATTACCATTTAAACTTTATTGTGTTATATAATAAAAACTTTATTGTTTTTCTATACTTCTCGATTCTTTTTATCCTTGTTTTGTTTGGATTAATACAGGTTTGAAAGTATGAATATATTTATTTAAGAGTGAATTACGAATTTGGTCCCTATAGTTTAATAAAAATTATGATTTGCATCCCTAAACTCAAAAAAGTATGGATTTGATCCTTGTGGTTTTCATTTTGTTATGACTAGCGTCCCTCTCACTAACGATATTAATGGTGACTCCGTTAACTTAATGACATTTGAGTCCTACATTTTTTCCTTATGCGATATTAAAATTTTGAAAAGTAAATTATATTATATTGAATTAATTTATTTTATAGTTATATTATATGTATTTAATTATTTTATTGGAGTCTTCTTCAATTTTCTCATATGTTTTAATGTGAGACCCGTAAGACCAATTTATGTTCATTGATCAAATTTATGAATTAATGATCTAATGGTTGCAAAGTTGCAAGGTGACAATTTCGTAATTAGTGAGAAGTCTTGTGGCGTTTATAAATGTTCAGATTTGACGATTGTAAATCTAATCCAAGGATTGAGAATTGGTCTTACAGGTCTCACAAAAAACCATTGATCTCACATGATCCCAAGTTTATATATATATATATATATATATATATATGGTAACATTGTTCTATTGTTTTAGGGGAGGGTGTTGCCATATTCAATGTAGATGTAGTCCTATATGTATAAACTTTTCAAACGAAAACACACTTAGGGTTCTGATCTAAAAGAAAGTTGCCCCCTTTTCCAAATTATGAGGATATTCTGGATTTTAATTTCCAAGTTTGGTATGGTTTTCTTTGTTGTTTAATTTGTTCAAATTTCTTGTTGCTATTTAAGAAACATATTTATTAAAGTTCTTGAAAACTAACGTAAGATAAATCATGAACTAAAAACACAAAAATCAAAACGATGAATATAAATCAAACACTCATTTTTCATGATTTTCCTTTGGTGGTGTGGCTGGATGCAAAGAAAAAGGTGGGTGATGTTGAACTTGGAAGTTAAAACATATGAGACAAATGTAAAGACTCAAATAACATTATTAAATATATAATATGAAATAAAATAAAATAATTAAATTTAATATAATTTACTTTTGAAGTTTATAATAGTATATATGAGAAAAATGCAAAAAGACTTAAATGCTCCTAAGTTAAACGGAGTTACCGTTAACAAAGTTAATGAGAGGGACTGTAGTCATAAAAAATGACAACCATAGGAATTAAGTCCATAATTTTTCGAGTTTATAGACGCTAATCATAACTTTTGTTAAACCATAAGGACCAAATCTGTAGTCCACTCTTTATTTTATAAATATTTTTATTAAGGAATGCAAAAAGAAAAGTAAAAGAATTCAAACATTTTGACTCTTTGAATTTAGATTAATGATTTGAAAATTTGTTAGTATTTCGTTCTGATTCAAACTGTAGTCTCATATAAAAAAAATGGATGGTCGTCGGCCCTTCCATCACATCAGGTAATCATACATGAAGAGGAAATTGTGTAGCTAGTTTCATTCTCTTAAAAATCATTCTTTATGCATGAAGAATTATGTATTAATGCACATTATTTAAAATTTAAGATTACAAGTAAATTGTACGTAGGTATAACTTATTAAAACTTCATTTTTTTAATTCATATAACTAACTGCAGATAAACATAAGTAAATACAAGATAAATCTCTCATTTTAAATATAAAAAATCTAAAATATAATTAAGATAATTATTGAGTTATAACATAATCATTATCTTTATAAAAAATTTATTGTTAAACCAAAAAAGTTACTTTTTTTTGACTTAAATTAAAGTATAACAAAAAGTTGAATTAAAAATTGTACAAAAAATTGAGAACTTTTAAATGGTTAATTTGAAATTAATATCGATATACTTTTTCAATATTTTATAATGCCTTCAAATTTATTTTTTATTCAAAAGTAAAAATATTATCTTTCTCAAAATCATATAAACAATATTATATCAACATAGACGAAAAATAAAACGAAACATTAAAATGAATATTACGCAAGTACTTTTTTAGTAAATCAAAATACAAAATATTTTTTTCATTTTAAAGCTTAAGGTATTAGTTATATAATTAAAAAAAGTTACTACATTTAATAAATGATTTATTTCTCATAATTAAGCATTTGTTTATTAGTGGGAATAAAATACTCCTATTTTTTGCATTTCATAGAATTATTGAAGAACAAATATACTTTAAAATCTGAATTTTAAAAAATATCTTTTTGGAAGGTAAGTTGTATCGGTGTATGTAATTAAATTGATTCTATCAAATCTAAAAAGATTCGTATATTACAAAATATTGCATTAAAAATTCAAAAAAGTATGTGATTAATTCAAAAAGAATTGTATCTATATTATATTATAAAGTAATTGACAAAAACTTTTAAAAACCATTTTTTATGCATGAAATACTGTTTATTGATGCATATTATTAAAGTTTAAGATTACAAATAATTTTACGTAAGTACAACTTATTAAAGCTCTATTTTTAAATTCGTATAACTAAATATTAATAAATATAATCAAATATAGAATAAACATCAATTTTAAAGATAGAAAACCTACAATATAATTAAGATAATCATTGACTTCTATTTAGTTAAAATCTTTATAAAATTATTATATTATTAAACCAAAATTAATCTATACTATATTATAAATTATTTGACAAAAACTCTTAAAAATCATTTATTATGTATGAAATACTGTTTATTGATAAATATTAGTTAAAATTTAAAATTACAAGTAATTTTACGTAATTACAACTTATTAAACCTCAATTTTTAAATTCGTGTAACTAACTGTTAATAAATATAATCAAATACAGGATAAACATTCATTTTAAATATGAAAAATCTAAAATATAATTAAGATAATCATTGAGTTTTCTAACAGAATTTTTAATTATTGTCTTTATAAAAAATTATATTATCAAATAAAAAATATATTACTTTGTTATTAAATCTAAATTAAATTAGAATAAAAAATTAAATTAGAGAAGTTACATAAAAAAACAAGAACTATTAAATAGTTAATTTGATAGTATTTTCGTTTCATTTTTTAACAAATTTTTATGTTATCTTCAAATTTATATTTTAATTCAAAAATAAAAAAAAAATTATTGTTTTTTCAAAACCACATAAAATCATATTACATCGATAAAGACAGAATAAAAACTAGAAATTAAAATTAAAATTAAAATTTATGTTACTACATTACTCGAGTATTCTTTTGTTACCTAATCAATACAAGAAACAAGATTTCTTTGAAGGGTTTTACGGAAGTTTGACCTTAGAAAACCATTTCCAAATTTAAAACAAAATCTCCCAAATTTTCGAGATTTCCCTAAAACAAATCTTGTTAATTTGACGTTAAACTATTAATAAATCTCACACCCATTTACAACCCTCCATTACTTCAAGAATCGCCACCGCCAATCATCAATTCATCATCGTCACCATGATCGAAACAAACGCCGTTGGCGGCAATAACATGAAAAAGAAGGCGTCGCAAGGCCGGAAAAAGATCGAAATCAAGAGAATAGAAGAAGTAAACAACCGTCAAGTCACATTCTCGAAGCGCCGTGCCGGCCTTTTCAAAAAAGCCAGCGAGCTTTGCATATTGACCGGAGCCCAAATCGCCATCCTCGTCAACTCCCCCGGTGGCCGGGTTTTCGCATTCGGTCACCCCACCGCCGACGCCCTTATCGACCGCTACCTCTCCACCCCCGCCGCCGCCACTGGATCAACATCCGATGGTACTTCATCATCTCAAAAGCCACTAATGGTGAAAGAATTCAACCAACACTACGTGGAGGTTTCGAAGGAGTTGGAGGCGGAGAAGAAACGGAAGGAAGTGATTCAAGAATCCAAAATGGTGAACGGCGGCAGTGGATTAGCGTGGTACGATGAAACCATTGACGAGTTGGAGTTGGAGGAGTTGCAGCAATATCTATCGTCGTTGGTTGAGTTAAAGAGGAAGGTTCTAGTTAGAGCCGATGAACTGATGATGATCAAGAAGGCTCCGGCGTTGTTGGGTCCGAACATGTTGGATATGGGTCAAGTATCAAATCACATTCCGAATATCGAGATCATGCCTTCCAACATGATGGCTCCAGTTGGTTTTAACTTCGGTCCTGCCATGGACTACCAGCCAAGGTAAAATTAAATGTACAAATTCATTAGAATTTTTTGAAGTCCCCGAATTGATATATATTCTATTAAAATCATCGTACAACGGTACTTAATATTCTTTTCTATAATCGGTGGATGTTTAGACTAGCAATATGTAATTGCTACCTTATATTAGTGGTCAATGAATGTTTGATTTTTTTTTTGTTTCGAATTATTTTGACTAATTAATATGGTAGGTGTTTACCACTAATTGTCATTAACCTTACTCGTAAGATTTTTGGTGATCAAAATGACGACTTATGTGGTAATCTTACCGGATAAACGTTTATCGGTATGAGTCATCTATTTTTGTTTACTGGGTAAGACTATCGTTCTTTGTTTTGTATTTTACCAGGTAAGTTATCGGTTTTTGTCGTATCAATTTGGCAAAGGTAGATAATACGATAAACGCTTACCGGGTAAACATCTGATAAAGGCTTCTAATTGTGCCAATGGCTTTATTATCGCTGGTATGCTATTATATTTTGTTTATATTTGTAAGTTGTAACTATTAATTAACGTACTGAAAATTCCATTTAAGCATTGGTTTAATGCATTAAATTTGGGTTAAAATGTTATTGTTAACTAAATGAGTTTGTAGGCTTACTTGTACAGGATATTTTTATTTTTTATTCAAAACCATACCGATAATTAGAATTAGTTTTTAATTATAGTAAATGAAACCCTGTAGATGAAAATTAAATAAACACGTAGTATTCAAAATATCAACGATACAAAATTCTATATCGGATTCGGTTCACGTGAGATCAGACTGTTTTCGTCACTTAAACTTCATAGCGTTTTGCTGTGAAGTTTCAAGTGGAAAAAAGTTGTCTCATGCGTCTCACGAAAACAGTCTGGTCTCACATGATCACAAATCATTCAACGTAAGCATCACTTTATAACCATATGCTATACTACTGAAACAAAAAAAAAAACTAATTAAAACACATTATCTTCGTTATTCAAATATGTCTAAACATACTTTTTAATTGCATTTGTAACACCTAATGATTTACCAAAGAAGTATCAACAAACTAATGTATCACTAAAGTTTTATACACAATATACACGTAACACTTTTGTTGTGTATTGTCTATGGTGATTCACTTAAAAAGATTAATAATTCATTTATTGAATTTCAAATGTTCCTTGGTACTCGTTAACTTGTTGATCATATATGTTGGGTCTTTTGTCGAATGAAAAATCCTTTTGAACTTCATTTGCCATCTCGTCTTGATTTTCAATAATAGCATCAGAACGCAATGCCAATTGTGATGACGAACCAAACTCCTGGACTTGGACTTGGACTTGATCCATAGCAACGATGTCCCAACTTTCATTATTCGAGTTTGATCTTGTTGGGGATGCGTTGAGGCTATCAATGTTGTTTTGGTAGTGACTTAAGAGGTGAAGCGGGGACAAGTTATGGCCAACCGATGGCATCCCAGGCCTATTTGACATTGGGGTCGTGTGGCCCGATTTCTTGTTTTCTTTTATGTGTTTTCTTGCGTTGTGGTGCCATTTGCGTATAGCAGTTCTCACTTCATCGTTGAATATCGTTGGTTTCATCGTAGAGCCCATCTATAATAACAATTAGTGATTTCTCATATAATGTTAATTGAAAAGCATTTTGAGAAAAGATATAAAATTCATGTATCAATGAATTTCACCTGTGTTACAAGGGCATATAGAGGAAGAGTCACGTAGCTGCATATGATCTGAACTAAAACCCTGGCCCATAAAATAAAATTTAATTATATACTATTATAAATTAATTTTGTTGTAATTAATTAGCATGCAGCATATATTGTAGTAAAATTGAAGCATAAATATATAGACTCACCCCATTGTGATTCTGATGACAACATCCTCTGTATGCTCATGAAAACATGATTCCAACCCAAATTGAAGCTGAATTAAAAACAAATTTTCAAAATTTAGTAATTAAGTTATGTAATCGAAATAAGATATTAGTTCAATATAATAATATTGCTTCCTCATTGTTACAAAAATTAGAAAGAAATCATGTTTGATTTTAAAGATTCACCTGTATATATATCCCATATATATATTAACAAGGATTTATTGGTTAATATATGCAACTATATATCAAAATCAAGAATAAATTTTCAATAATTAAAAGAATGAAGAAAATTAAATATGCAATTTGCGTAATTAATCCTTACCACAGTCCATGTCAAGAAGGCGAGTTGAAATGCATTCTGCAATTTGCATATTAAGATGCCAATAAACCACGGGTGATCATGTTGATGATGATAACAATAAATAAAACTAAACCTACAAAAAGCATGCTGAGTGTACACCATTTAAAGGAAAGACTACAACTCGTTAAGCAGATGGTACTACTATATATAATGTGTGTGTGTGTGTGTGTGTGTGTGGGGTTAGTTACCTGAAAGAGGACAAAGTTGAGGAGGTAGAGAAGGAGACGAGGGCGGTTGAACCAAAAGAGATCATCACCAGTGTGAACCACTGGTGCACCCTTCACAACCTCTCCTCTCTCGTGGATCTTTAATCCCATTTTTGTAATTATCATCTGTAGTTTTGTCCCCACTAGCAGAAGGATCTGTGCATCATAATTAATCATTCAATTAGCTAATTGATTAATTAACGTAAATAAATAGACAATATAATTAAAAAAAACATATGCAAAATCATAAATGGTATAACCTAAAATGCGGGTCTTGTCAATAAGATACATGTTTAATTTAAAACAAGTTAACTGTAGCTAACCCTTTGTTTTGAATTTTAGTGCAATGAGGAGAAATTTTATTTACTTACAATCAAGGGGAGAAAAGGCAACCATAAATAAGAATACCATCCTGTGTACAGAAAAATGAAGATAACTTAGAAAATTAGTCAAAGAAATACCAAATATATTTTAATTTGAAAGATGGGATTAATTATGCATCCTAAGTTTGATTTAATGGAATTGAAATAAAAATAATGCAGATGAACTGACCATGAGTATTAAAGACCAAGAAAGCCACAGCTAATAACCAAATTGGTGGACTGTGTTTCAAGATAAGAAAAGGCAAAGTTAAACAATAATTAAACGTATAAATGGTGTTATTATCTAGCAAATAACAATAACAAAAATATTGTTGCATTTATTGATTTGGGCCAGTGGTCTAACGTCGAACGACATATTATAGGGTGAGTTTGGTGTATAGGATAAGACATGACAGACAGGGGCGGAACCCCATAGGGGCCTTTGGGGGCCATGGCCCCCCTGCTTTTCTACTTAAATATTATAACTAAGATATTAAAAACATATACATTAAGCAGCTCAGTTGGCAATGATATACCTCCTATATATTGGAGGTTGCTGTTTCAAATCCCATCCCAAGCAATTGTGTTTTTGCACTTTATAAAAGTTATTAATATTTAATTACATGTATTAGTTTTTATATAATATATTAATTATATATAAGTTTTTAAAGTAAATTACACCGGTATCACTATTTCTCGGTTAATACTTTGAATGTTTTAGTTTTTAGAGTAAATAATATAATATATTAATTATATGTAAATAATGTTTAAATTGGTATTACTATTTTCCTGTTAATACTTTGAATGTTTCAAATTTTAATATTATATTAATTAATCTTTTTCGAAAAATTTAATAGTCTAAAAACAAATCATTTTGATTTACAAATTTTTACAATATTATAGCATCTTCAACATATTCTTCAAAAAATTTCCAAAATGGATAATTAAAACTCTATTAAAACCAAGCTCGAGCTCCCCGCCCCAGCTAATCTCTCATTGGTAGGAAAGTCGTTTCGATCCAATCCATTCTTGGGGTCAAATAAAGACAAAAAATAATATGTCAGTGACCTATAAACCATTAATATCAATGATTATTAACGGTGTGAATATGATGGAAAAAAATGATTGGATCGAATCCAATCTCCCATTGGCAGGAAAGTCGTTTCGATCCAATCCATTCTTAGGGTCAAATAAAGACAAAAAATGATATGTCAGTGACCTATAAACCATTAATATCAATGATTATTAACGGTGTGAATATGATGGAAAAAAATGATTCTCTCTCATTGTAATCAATTTTTGTTTACACTCTCTCATGTTTTCTCCGTTTTGGAGAATTTTGAAGAGCCTGTTGGAGCAAAAATATGCCTAAAATCTCCATTTTCTCAATTTTGAAAAATCTATTGAAGATGCTCTTATATTTCGGCCCCCCGGACTACAACGGTTGTSTTCCGCCCCTGATGACAGAACAAAAAAATGATCTTTATTTCATGTTTTACAGGACTTTTATGTGGAACAAAACAAGAACAAAGTAGAAGAAAGTGAAACAGACCTATTTCACCTATATATCATGGAACAATATGGAACAAACTTATATTTTATCAGTATAACCTCAAGATGAAACCTAATTCTCGTCTAAAACATGAAATATGTCTCATTTTTTTACATTTTATTTATTATTTAACTTTTATTTATTGCATTTGAATATTTCATTTTACTGTTCTCAAAATATTATTTTTATACGGTTTATATATTTTCACTAATTTATGTAGTTTATTATATATTAATAATAAGAAATAATGTAGATTAGGGATAATACAAAATTTGGAAACTACATAAACTTTTTATTTTAGTTTCATTTTAATTTTTTCTGTGAAATTTTATAATAATATAGTTTGTTATAAAAATAATTATTTTATTATAATTTTAATAAATTATATAAATTAATCAAAATATATAAACAATTCATTACGGGTAATTTGGTCATTTTACTCGTTCTGTTATGTTCAGTTCTATCTTATCAAACACTGAACAATTATTTTGTCTTATCCTATTCTATTTGGACACCAAATACACCCATAATCACATCAACTTTATGTTCATGATTCTAAAAACCAAATTGGTTAATTATATGTTTAAGAAATGCTTTAATTTACAAATTTTCTTTTAAATATTTTTAGTGGATCATCAACTGCGTGTTTATTTATCAAACTTAACCATCAAAATTTAATCCTAGACAACAACTGAAAAATAACTACCTGATACTCACGACGACCTTTAGATCTTCTTCAAGTGATCTGTTAATGTATTTCTGAAAATCAAATGTCGATTGGTTGTCTTGTGCCAAATGTGTCTAAAACAAAATTCAAAAGGAAATTAGATAAAAAAATAATAATGTGGATTCGAGGTATGTAATAAAAAAGAATGAATTAATCACCTCATTATATTTATTTGATTGTAATTCTATAAATATGTGTCTAACTAGGCATTTAAATGTAACAAACTGTTACCATGATGAATCCATGTCTCAACGTCAAGTAATCGACTTTTGGTACCGATCGAACAAATTGTCTAAAAAAACAAACCTAATACAGTTGATCAAAATGTTAGCATATGAAAAATGGAGGGACATAAATTTCCTTTCAACCTTGATAATTGTTTATTCATATTTTTCTTTTATCACGATTAAAAATAAAATTTAACATTTAAAGGGATCTATGAGGGTGTTTGGGATTGCTTATAAAAACAAATTATTAACTTATTCCGATGTGGCACTGATAATAAATATTTTTGAATGTTTGGATAAACAATTTATACCAGTGTCAAACCGATAATAATTAGTTTTTGAATAAGTTAAATCATTTTAACTTATAATAAATTGATAAATACTTTTATAAAAAAAATATAAATTATTTCAAATAAGCAATCTCAAACAACTGTCCACTAGATACAATATTAACTCATGAAAGACCAGAGAGAGAAACTTACAATCCAAAGAAGAATGGGAGATTTGCTCCAAAAACTCACGTGTCTTCTTCCAAATGATGTGTCCCTTGTAAATCTAAATCTGTCTGGGTCTGTATACATGAACACTTAATATCATAATCACCAATGAAACCAGATTGACCTACAGATAGCTGCTTAATTCTTGGATAGACATCTTTTTAATTAGTGATCATGACCAGCTGTAGGGTGTAAAATATTAACAGTATTAGGTTTGTTTTTAGAATAAATTAAATATATAATAGAAAGTGTTATTCGAATTAAAAAGTAATCAAAAACTAAACAATATGAGGTATTCTTATTTGATTAACCAAACTGATTAGTACAATAACTAAATTACCCGAAACCGTTTGACACGAATTTTATTCAGTTCAAATGAGTTATTTGGTTTCGATTATCTGTTACACCCATAACGATCATTTTGACATAAAATTACGACATTGAGTGTGACATTGGGAGTGGAAGGAAATATAATTTGAATCATTTATAAGTTGTAACGTTACATACCATGGGAGAAGCGATACTCGGCTGTTTTCGTCTCAGTTTCCCAATGCTTCCAACTTCTCATCTATGTAACATAACATAACATAACATAACATGCATGCATACATCATTAATTAATATGTGTCCATGTTGAAAATCTACACTTTGGTACATGTGGAGCATGCATCATTATTAATATGTGTCCTCTTGCACCAAAGTTTTAAATAACGAAGCCAAGATAATACCATCTATGGCTATTTTTTTCCTTACAAAAATGGTTGTTTACCGGTCATAATCAAAATAATACCATCGATTGAAATGTCATTCAATAACGACGAAAAAAAATACAAATTTATACCACTGAATCCTATGATATCCCAGTTTAATATCATGACGCAATGTTTTAGAAGCCATATCAGGGCGCGCAACCGCCTTGGCACAAGCCGCAAGGCTTGTTCTGTTAACACCATGTTAACCACTGCGGCATGCACTGTCCTTGATGCACGTTGTTTGTAAAACGTTATTTGTTTATAGGTATATATCTTGCACATGTTTGCCATAAAAAATCATAACCTTGTCATGGCTTCAAATACTTGAGGCTTGACGTAACGACTATGTTACGTGTCAAGTTATTAAAACTTTGGAGCAACAGGTTTTTATTATATCATGATTGTAACAAAACCCTATATATGTTACCTTTGCTCTTCCTAAAGCCAAGGTGAGAATACAGTACAGAACATGAGACACAGCCAAAACGAAGATGAATATATGAAGTTGATGAACCCCTTCATAAGACATAAACGACACTCTTCCCTGCAATTTTAAAAAAGCGAATCAATAACAAAAAGAAAGAGAAATCGACTAACATAACCAATCTTCCTACTCAAATTCGCTTTTTAGTTATTTTGGGAACCGATTTCCCATTAGTATTTTGAGATTAAAAGAAGAAAAATATTTAGGCAAATTATGTAAAAAATATTTTAATTTGAAAATCGAGTTTAGGCAAATGGTAGCCATATGCATAAACTCCACGTAAAAGGAGAATTTGATTGATAAAATGGTTAAAAAGTGAATTTGATTGTGGAGATTGACTACTCTGGTCAATTTCCCGGTATGCTATAGTTGATATCGTACCTTTTCGGCGCACTTGTTGTCGCCGCTGGTTCCGGCCATAACGCGACGGCTGCTGTCACCCATTTTCGACCAAGTGAGAAGTCTCCGGGGGTTCTGTATTTTTTCTTTATTTGAGTTTTTCGCATTCTGTTTGTTGCACGGATGCCATGTCGATGCCACGCTCTCTGATATGCATATTTTTGTAATCGGAGTTGTTCCTACCGTCAGTAGCAACGATATGAATCCCAGCAACATAAGTTCTACCATAAACACCAAAAGGATCATATATATTATTACTGATGCTCCAAGATTTTATAAGCAAAAACGAATACTGAAATCAGCTCAAACTTTGAGAAATATTCTAAGTTAAAATTGCAGTGATTTATGTATCAAAATCAAAACCCAAACCAAACATATAATCTGTTCAATTAAATGTTAGAACTCAGAATATGTTAGAATCCAACCAAATTATGTTAAGTTAGCACCTGCTTTAATCTTCTCTAGTGATTCATAGAGAGCTCTTTTCTGTTTCTTCTTGAACCACTGGATATAACATGATATCAAACGTATTTTAATCAGTATACCACACTAACGAAAATCATTTGGGTCGAATTGCTAATATAATTAGCTAAATCAGAAGCATCTAGACTCGTATACGTACTTGTCCAATCAGATGGATGATCTGTTCGATAACAATGGAGACTAGAACCAAAACAAAACAAACAGTAGCCACCGCCCATGCCGGCGTCTGTTCCAAAGACCTTGCTTCACTTGCTCCGCCCATAATCTATCTCCTGCCTCGATCGGTTTCTGATTCTGGAAGAATCACTCAAAGATCTTCAACAGAAAAATGGAGCTCAAAGTAAATACCTATCGAATTGATGACCGTTGTTCAAGGCGTTTGAATTTTTAGAGATACTTCCTGATTTTATATACAAGTATTCTGAAGAAAAGAACGCAGGTCTGACATTTTGAATCTACAGACGTGTGCGTGAGGAAGACGAGACGAGACGTATACAGTAAGCCGGATCACCATGACTCCATCGCTTGAACCAACGTGGAAACGGAAACCGTACAAGTTTCATTTTATACCCCTAGATTATGGTTCACGAGTATAGTCAACATGAGAGATGCATAGGAATTTCGTTACAATTGGTTTTGAGTTAGTTTCTGATGAGGCGGGCCCCAATTATTTAATAAAAGAATTTGTTAGCATGTTCTAATATTTTTCAAAAAAAAAAATCTATACAAAAATAATAGACTTTAGTGTTTCAAATGATTAAGTATTTAGACAATATTTTACAGCAAATAAGTCCATGTATATTTTAAAACATGTTAAATAACTCTTTCGATTTTTCAAGACCTGTTAGATACATTCTCATGACTTATAAAACTGGTTAATGTGAAATAATGAAAACAACCTGGAAAAAAACCAATGAACTTTCGTATTTTGAACGATTAAGAAGTTGTTTGTTTATCTCCTAATAGTTCCATTAAGAGGTAGACTCTAAATTGTTAAGATGTGAATCTTGTTTGGCCAAAAAAAAAAAGTCTACCTCTTAATGGTTCCAAAACCCTCTGAATAGTTTCGTATCCTAGACATCCCTAACCATTCAGTGCCCTAATTTCATTGTAAACAGTTACGAAATAATTATATTTCATTTTGAAAATTTTAAAAAATAGGACTAAAAATGTAATTTATTAAATTAAGGTGGTTAGTTTGATAAGGAACCCTGTTATTTAGAACCTTTTTAAACTATTTAGACTCTCTCTCACACTCACAATCTTTGTTTCTTTAAAATAAATATTTTAGTAGTATTTTTGAGTTAAGTGGTTAAGACTTGACGAATATAATAAAAAGATCAGGGGCTGTTTGTATGGTTCTTAATCGGTAAGAGGTAAGGGGTGTTTGGTAAAAAAAAATAAGTCTCTTAATGATTACATTAACCTCTTAACTATTTTGTGTCTGGTGCTTCACTAAACCATTCAGATTGCATTTATTTCATCTTTACCCTTCCACACCCTTCATCTTTGTCTCCTCCCATGGCGGTTTATCCCCTTGTTACTTTCTTCTAACATTCGCATAACATAAGACTGATTCCAAAGCACCCATCTTTTTTCATTTTCTGTCCACCATTAACGCACAGAAGAAGAAAAAAGAAGCTCTTTCTTCTTTTCAGGCGTCGACGTCTCCACCAGATGGGTTACTTTCTTCTGCATTGTTAGTTTTTGTTTTGATGTCATCTTCATAAACAGGTACTTGTTGCTACTGCCTTCTTTTGATCCTCTTTTCTCCTTGATTACAGATTTGGGGTTCTTGTTTTCTTACAATCTTGAATTTTGCTGTAATTTTCTTGATGTTTGTTCCTTTCTGTAGTTTGAATTTTTGAAGGATTGTTGGGTATTTTTATTATACATCTTGGTTTTGTATATCACTGGAACTAGATTGGGAAAATGGGTGTTTTGAACTAATAATGTTACGTTTGTTTGGATTAATATGAAATATGTAGTTACATTTGCAAAATAATTGTTTTATTCAGATATCTATCAAACAGCTCTATTTCATTCAGTACTAAATGATACAGAGGATTAAAATGATAATTTGTTGTCATTCAGAGAACAGTTACCAAATAACATTATTTCATTCAACATTTAACCATTCTGGCCTTCTTAACCATTCTGACCACCTAACCATTCTGCACCAAACCATTCAGCAACCACCAAACAGCTCCCAAACTATAAAACTCATAATGTTGTGTTCTCGAATTTTGAAAGAAAATAAAAAGAAATAGACGGAAATAAAAAAAACAATTTTCTTATTTGTGTTTTAGAGAGTGAGGGAAAGAAAAGAACGAAAACTAATATTCATGTTCTTGAGTTGGAGAGAAATGAAAAGCAATATGTTATTTTTACAAATATATTCTAATCTATTTTACAGTAGAATGTAATTACTGAGTATATTTGTAATTTTACAAATATTTTTAACTTCTATAAATTTCTCCCAAACCCGTTCTCCCATATTTGGGTGGAGAGGTTTGGGAGGTGATCCAACTTCCAATATTATTTTTCTTTCCTTTGAAACAGAACCTGAGACACAAGTTTTTTCTCTTTCCTTTCCTTTCCTTTCTTTCAGAAAAACACATCGTAAGACAATAAAAACACTATTTATGAACTCTGAGTTCATCGTAATGAATTATAACAAGTAAGTCGACAAAAGTGTAAAATCTAAAAAAGAATCTAGGGTTCCCTTCTTTTTTATGTATACAAATGTAAAAACATTGTTTTGTTTCGAATACCATAAAACATACATTACGATACTACCCATTAAACATTAAATCTTTAGTGAATCTATTCGTCGTTACCTCAAACCCATGGGACCAGGAGCCGTCACATTCCCTTTATTGATCAATCCTTGGTCCCTACTAGATAACCGAGCACCCATTTGGTCCCAAACCCAACCCAACATCGGAAAATCATATCAAGCAGTTAACTCTTCAAACCGACTACAAATAAATTTATTTGTTAAAATAACAAACATGTCAAGTTAGAAATACTGTCTAATTTTCAACTTTAAAAAAGTTTGTCTTATGATAGTTTTTTTATAATAGTTTTTCAGCTAAAGTTCTAATTTTAATTTTTATTTTTATTCATCAGCAACCGTTTTACAATATTAGGAACGTTGAAATTTGTTTAAATGTTTTTCTTTTAAATTTGTTCTTAATTATATACAAACATCAAAGATATTTAAGTAATAATGAACAATTCAATAATCATATATTAAAAATCAAATATTGTAATTGTCCCATGAAATAATCGTCTACCAACCATTAATTTAAAATCAACATTAATTTCTTTTCAAATTATTTTCCCTAACAAGTAGAAGGAAACAACTATGATTGGTGAGTTTTAATTAATTAACGTTTTCCATGTGACTTTTTTGTTTTATGGATGTCATCATTGAAAACAATCCTAAAACCATCGAAACTTATTTGGTGTCTGATTGATTTGAGTTTTGCTTCAAAGGTTAAAAGTGTTTGTAAGGTCTCAGATTCAAATCCAATGAGAAATAAAAATTATGTGTGGTTATGGAGGTTCAAATACGATGACTCTGAGATACTCGTAAAGTTATAGATTTTGGACGTTTTATATTCTCTAATTTCTTTCATTTTTGTTATATTTAACAATAATAAACTCATAAATGGAGGTTTTATTAGAAAATTTTGATGGGTTTAAACTATGGACCTAAATGTATCTCAGATATATTAAATGAACCGAAGAAAATTGATCTCTTGGCGTGGTCCAAGTATACAATCAGGTCATGGTTGGTTCTCTTGTCAATTAATTATAATGGAGACGTCCATTCATTTCAAAATTAGAAACCCCAAAATATCAATATTTTATACACATTTGATCGAATAACTATCTAAATATTACTGTAATACATAGATTTTAAGGGGAATGTTATATGTAACCAACCACAAGGATGATACTTGATTGGTTTGAGTTTGACTCCAAATGTCAAAAGTATCAGGAGGTTTCAGGTTCAAATCTAAGAGGGAATAAAAATCCTCTTGTGGCCGCGGAGGTTCAAATGCGGTGACTCCGGGCTATCTGCAAAACATGTGGTCATTCTAGGATTAGTCAGCTCGCATAATGGATTGGCTATTCAGGTTAATAAACAAATAAATAGTAATGAGAGATAGATGCCGACCCAAAAAAGATTGGGTTGGACTATGCAGCCTTACGTATTCCATCTTTTTTTATCATGCCATGTCCGATGGGGGATTTTCGTGTTATCGTGTAAAGGGTCTTGAAATAATGGAATTTTTTACGAGGTATTATCATCTTATGGGTTTTAATTATTTTGTTTCTCAGGTTGATTTTTTCTTTTACTGGATTATCTTCTAACATTTTTTGTTTTTTTAACTGATTGTCGACCTGAGAATTAGTCATTGAATATAAGCTGAAAACCCAAAGTTATTCAATAAAAAAACTTAAAAAGTTTTTAAGTGTAAAAAAATAATAAGTAAGAAGTTTCGGGGATGATTTGAAAATAAAAAAAAACTTATAGGGGCCTACATGGAGCGTAATGTGGTCAACCGCCTCTACGCTCCTCCGCCTGTTGCCGCCCTTTTCCATTTTCAAAATCTCCATCTTTCTTTCTTTATTTCAACTCCAAGAAACAACCACACTCTCAAAACGACCATATCATTTCATCATATATCTCCACTCGAATTCAGATTTCTAGCAATTTTATTCCGGAAATCATGGATGTTCATCCTACACCTTTTCCTGGTACCATGTTCTTGTTCTTGATGAATTTTAGATTCTTTTCAGCAATTTTAACAGAAATTTATCGTTGATTTCTCCATTTCTTTGCTTGTTTCCCGCAGGCAACAAACCCCAGTCGGTGAAATCGAAATACAAGAAGATCTCTGAAGCACCGAAACAGAAGATTAAAGAAGCACCGATTCAAAGGTGGTAACAAAGAACTCGTAGATCTAAATTTCTCAGTTAACGTTTTCTTTTCTAAATCAACAACTCTGTTTGTCTAATCACAGGAACCGGCGTACCTTCGGCACTATTAGAAATCCCAATGTCCCAGCAAAAACATTGCCGGAAAAGCCCAAGCCAAAAACATCGAATCAGATATCCGTAAAACAACCAAAAACAGAGCCGGAGACTGCTCCAGTATCAAAAACAGAATCGGCAAAGAAAACCCCTCAAAATGGGAGCAATGAGAAGGCAAAATTGAGGAAGAAGAAGAGCGTTTCTTTCCCTGAAAAACTTGAGGAATCAATTACAAAGAGATCTCCGGCTGGAGAAGTTGACGGAGTGAAAACTCCAGTGAGACCACCGTTTTCTGTTAAACCCATCAGAATCTCGGGAACTCCATATCTAAGTGCTGAAACGTGTAGCAGTTGTCGGTTTGATAGGCTGGAGACTGCGTCGTATTGGCTGGGTCAGATCAAATCAGCAGAGTCCGTCGGCAAGCATTTTGTCTCCGCCGCTTTCTTCCGTCTTGCCAACGACTGCAAAGCAGAGGTTTCCATTTTCCCTTCCACCTATTCTCGGTTGTTTACAAGGGGTGCTTGGGTTTGCTTATAAAAGTTGTTTTTTAACTTATATCAGTATGACACCGGTGATAAACTATTTTCTGGTTTTTTGGATAAGAAAAAGAAAATTGCTTATACCGGTGCCAAATCGGTAATAAGTTATTTTTGATAAGTTAATCCTTCCTGACTTGACTTATGAAAAATTGTTTATTACCAGTTTACAATTTTAACTCTGTTATATTTAACTCCAGTTTGATACCACATAAGTTAATAAGCACTTTTACAAAAAAAACATAAGTTGTTATAAATAAGCAATCCCAAACATCCCCTAAGTCAAGTCAATAAAACAAAAATCGAAACTTTCGTAATCTAACCCGTTATTTTTTAAAAACGTAGAAAATAAAATCGCTGAATAACTAGTTGTATGTCTTAAAAATATTATAACCGATCAGTAGTTACAAAATTTAATACGTTACGTATATGTATATGTCTTGCATATTGATATTGTTTCATAACAACGCTTGTAGCATGAATTTGTGCATTTGTTGTTTATGTCTAAGCTACTTTTTTGTTTTAATTATTGACAGCCTGCTCGAACTCTTCTAGTGGAATTAAAGAAATATTTAACTCGTTACGATCAATTATGTACCAAGACTGAATGGAAAGAAGTGTCTCGTATGTATGGAATATTGAAGAAAGAGACTGAAACTAAAAGTAATGAAGATCATGGGAACTTGTTTTATGAGGATACAGGTACGCAAGGAGGTGCTACCGATGACCAAGAACAAAGAGTAGAGGACGCTGATGATAACGATACTGTGAAAGAAATATTTATACAAGAAACTTAGATTTGAATAATTATTAGGGTTTTTGAGAGATTGTTTGTAAGTGTAAAATTGTGTGTTAGAATTATTTTATATTTATATTGGAGTCAGTGTGGATTGCAAAATTTAGATGGTATGTTTGTTGGTTTTTCTACAGACTTAAGTCCTATAATTTAATCATTTTAGGCGTCCTATAAAACTAATCACATATTAACGTGGTTTAGTTCTAAACTAAATTCGATCTGTTATATCTGATTCCAACTCAACTTCATGATCTACGTCTAAACATTTATATTTAGATTATACGTCAATTTTAACATGTATTTGCAAATCGTACGACTAGTCAAATTTTAGCTTTTGACGAGAGTAAAACATGAACTTAAATTATATGACGACGGGAAAAAGGATAACGTTGACATTGACCAGACATGAATTGGAGGCCCACTTACAACTAACAGATCAGGCCCATTACAAATTTGTATACAACCATCAATGGGTCCACGCTCGAAGAATGATTTGAACTTGCCGGCCCACTAAGGCCTGATCATATAATTTTCTGAATGAACTTAACGGCTTATTGGCTCAATTATTTAACGTTTTCTTTTTCTTATATATTAAATAATGAATGAAAATTATTATTTGGATTATAACGTTTCCAACAGTGATGTCAAAATATAAATTTCCGAGATTTTGGAACTTTTTTGTTCAAATAGATAGGAAGGTGGAAATCTCTAAATTTAAAGAAATCTCTAAAACTCAGAAAAAATAATGTTTTAATTTTTTTTCCACTAGTAAGAAATTGAAATTACAGCGAGATACATTTTGATTTTAATATTTCATTTTATTCTTTATCTCAGTCGATGTTATAGTATGGTCTTATGTGATTTTGAAAAACCGATAATGTTTTTATTTTTGAATAAAATATAAATTTGAAGATATTATAAAATTTTGACAAAAATATATCAATATTAGTATCAAATTAACTATTTAAAGTTTCTATTTTTTGTGTAATTTTTTAAGTTCAATCTTTTATATAATTTAATTTATGTTCAATAATGAAGTAATTTATATTTGGTTTAATAATATAAGTTTCTTATAAGGATAATAATTAATTATTTTGTTAGAACTTGATAATTATCTTAATTATATTTTAAAATAAAATGTTTATCCTATTTTTCTTGAGTATCAAAATTTCATAGTGAATCGTTATGATAATCCATATTTTTCTTTATCACGGGACTTGAAAAAGTCACATCCAAAAGAATACTATTTTTTTATTTAACTACCGACATAATATTGAGAAAAACGTTGACCAATAAATATGGGGCTCTAATTGAAAATTGGTAATTTATATTTGTCAAGCTTCAATTATACGAGTGAATCTAGTTGAGGATGCAAGTTGTGAACGATTAATCCTCCCAATCGTATTGGACCAATTGGTGTCGTTCGAAAATGGTTCCATTTTTCGTACTAATAGTTTGTTTTGATTCATGATTCAAGATATTAGCCATTTGGACCAAAGCGTTAATATCTATATTTTTTTTCATTTAGATGAATTGAACATTAATGGTGCAAATGGTTTGTTGGATGGAGTGAGACGTTAATGAAATGGACAACGTAATTGAATCAAGTCACCATACATCAACGACTATCATACAGACACAAATGGCAACGTCTTAAAGCTCTTAGAAAATAATCAATAATATAAACTTCTCAACCAATCAACAAAAACTATTATTATAATTGGATATCAAATTTGCGTAAAAAAAGAAAAAGAAAAATGAAAGCGTGTAATTTTACATAAATAGTGAGAATCGGGCTTATACGAGAATATCAACCATATAAAAGGAAATAAGAAAACGCTCGAGTCATACATGATTTTACACTAAAATTACGTGTAAAATCATATGTAATTCACGCGACCTAAGGTTGCGGGCAACATTGCCCGCACACCTTTGAGTTGACCGTTAAATGTAAAATCATATGTGATTTTTTTACGTGATTTGATTGTTGCATATTTTTTTTATTTTAATATTATTCTCGTTTGAACCTCTCTCTGTATATATATATATATATATATATATAGAGAGAGAGAGAGAGAGAGAGAGAGAGAGAAAAAAATTTAGTTCACTGTTAACACAAATTATTGTGTTAAACTTTATAAACCTTTTAGATTAATCACAATTCATCTTAGTATTAGATTTTTCATTATCTAAAAATTTAATGTTAAGGGTATATGGGTAATTTTTTTTTGTAACTCCTATATCATTATTTGGGAGTTACAAGATCTATAAAATCCCACGATTTTTGTATTTTTAATATTGATATTGTGATTTTTTTTCATTTTTTAATATTGATCTTCCATTTTTAATATTTATAAATTTGTGACTGATGGAGGAGATCCGTTAGTAAAGTGTTTGTTATCGTTCAAGCAGTTAGGGATAAAGACATTGGAAAACAACACGACAACGTTGAGAAAATTAAATTTGTTTACGGTGACAATCGGAGTTCGAAATCGAGAAGTGAAGTAAATAATCAAAGTGATTGCATTAATAATTATGAACACAAATTGACATATGTATACACCCATGAAAACACAAATTGACATATATGAACACTTTTGACAATTATGGACAAAGATTAAACATATATGTGAACAGTTGTGGCAATTATGAACAAAGATTGAACATATATATGAACACTTGTGGCAGTTATGAACACAAATTGAACATATATGTGAACACTTGTGGCAATTATGAACACAAAAATTAAACATATATGTGAATACTTGGGGCAATTATAAACACAAATTGAACATATATGAATACTTGTGACAATTATTCATACAATTGAACATATACGAATTATATTGCTTGTAACCGATATTTTTGAATGCATATTATCCTTTGCATAAATACCATTCAATAATTATGTTGACATATATTTATAAGATTATACATTTAATAAACCCAAGAGTCTCGTTTCTGTTGGCCCGTGTTTTTGTTTATGTATTATTTTTATCTTATAAAAGGTGTAACCAACCATCTTTCCTTTTTATTGTTTAATAAATTAAATGATCCCAAGAAAGCAAAACACGCTTATTTTATTTTTATTTTTATTTTTTGCAAGAATAAGATTCTAATAGAAATACACGTTTTTGTTGTCATTTATCATCGGTTTATACCCAAAACGGATTATTTCATCCATTATTTTTATCTTCAACTTTGTTATTATAATATTGGGAGGTTGATGTATAATCCCCCCCCCCAACACACACACACACACATATATATATATATATATATATATATAGATGGAGGTTCAAACGAGAACACATCTATTTTATGATAACGCGAGAAGACCCTTATCTCATGTGATGATACAAGTGAGGGAACCCTGTGATGTGAGGACGACGTGTTCTACGATTTAGGTCGCGCCAAAGGTTGTCTGCGTCTATGATTTAACATCACATGTGATGGTTTTAATGAATTATAGTATCATATCAATAACACCCTTATCACATGTGATAATACTTGTGATGGGACTTAGTGGTGTAAGGGCGACTTGACCAGCAACTAACATCACATCGAAAATCGTCCGCGTCACTGATTTAGTATTACATGCGTATCATATGTGATTGTCTATAGTAAAAAGGTGTTCTCACGTTCTCGTAAAATGAAAGTGTTTTCGCGTTCTCGTAAAATGATGGTGTTCTCGTTTGTACTTTTCCCTATATATATATAATGATAATTAAATGGGAATCATAAAAAGATTACAAACCTATAAGAATTGATATAAACATATCTTTTTACATTATTATTTCTTTTTTTTAAAAGTTGTGATTTAACATATTATTTCACACATGTTTGTGTTCCCATTATAAAAAATTGCATGTAAACTTTTTTTTGATTCACTTAAGGGTGCGTTTGGTTTGCAGGAATGTTTTTGAGGGATTTGGATTCCTATGAAGGGTTTGGATTCCATGGGATTTGGATTTGATTGGATTTGAAATCCATTCCTCTGTTTGGTTTGTAGGATTTGTAGTATTGGGTCTCCTTACTCAAAAGAGCTAGCAACTGTCTATGGTCTGTACAGGATTCCTCAATGAAGCAAATTATCGAGAACTACAGAAATCGAAAAGGCAACAGAGACGAAGGGAGACGGAGACGGTGGGCGACGGAGACGGTGAGCGACGACCACCGACGGAGGCGGCGACGGAGACGAAGGGCGACGGCGACGGAGACGAAGGGAGACGAAGGGCGACGGAGACGGTGGGCGACGGAGACGGTGAGCGACGACCACCGACGGAGGCGGCGGCGACGGAGACGAAGGGCGACAGCGACGGTGAGCGACGACCACCGACGGAGGCGCGACGGAGACGAAGGGCGACGGCGACGGAGACGAAGAGAGATGAAGGGCGACGGAGACGGAGACTAAGGGAGACGATGTAAGCTGTGGGAGAAGATGGAGACGAGTTAGGGCAAGCATGTATGTTGTGGGAGAAGATGGAGGTAAGGGAATGGATTTCAAGTCCCGTGTATTTTCAAAGGATTTCCAAATCCAGCGTTTAAGGGATTTCAAAGGAATCCATGGATTTCAAATCCTCACAATCCAGCAAACCAAACACAGGGTTGGAATGGATTTCAAATCCAAATCCCTCCAATTCCTGCAAACCAAACACGCCCTTAGTGAAACAAAAAAATACACATAAAAAAACATTCATATGGTGAAACAAATACATGTGAGATTATCACATTATGAAACACATATATGTAAAACAATATCTTAAATCCTAGCATTTGATAAGAAAAGAATCATGTAAAATATTATTTTTAAATCGGTTATCATGGGGTTTGTAACGTTTTTGTGGTTCTCATTTGATACAACCCCTATATATATATAGAGAGAGAGCTTGGTTCAAATACTAACCAAGATTTTTATGTTAACTTTGTTAATCAAGCTCAACCAATCATATTTCATCTTTTCTTTAGGTTCACATATAACTCATAAATTAATGACAAGGGTAATTAAGTAATTTGTCATTTATGTAACTCCCAAATCATTAATTGGGAATTACAAATCTAAAAATCTCAATATTGATGATTATGTAATATTGATAT